ACTCACTCACCATTATATGTCTGATCTAAAACGCAACTGCTCTCACGTTTTGTCGCTAACGGTAATCTCGAGTAAATTTTCTGTCATCTTTGCAGGACTGTGATATGAAGAGTGTACAAAGTAACATATCTGTAGCAACAGTGTGAAACTGAATGTAACAAACTGTAAACTACAAAAACGCGAATTTGTGAAAACTGTGATGCCATTCGCTTGCATATTACGTGTTCGGTCTATACGTATGTGCGCAGATGCAAAGTTTATTTACAAAGTGAAATCGCCAATTACTGGCCTGACATGCACAGCTTTTTAGGTGTATCGTGGATCCGTGTGAATGAGAACCATTTTGACAACATAGTAGTCTGTATACAAAACTTTTCAAACTTTTCAAATATGCAAAGGACAAACTTTCCTGTTTTTTAGTACAACATTGTTATGTAAACATACCCAGACTTATCTGCCTTTCGTCATATAGGGACAAAGGTAGAATTTTCAGTTCTACACAATTTCAAAACTTCACTCAAATAAACTGAATTTGGAATATGCTATATTTTCTGATAAACTTCATCAGATTATGAAACTTTAAATCTGTTTTCCATAAGTGCTCACTTACTGTAACCCCTTGTAATTTACGGCCATTACAAATGCTATATATTTTGTTTACATGGCAGTAAAATAGAAAAAATCCAATCAGATGGCACATTTTAAGTGATCCCCTGAATAAATTTGCCACATACAGTAATTAAATTAATGTCAGAGCTGTGGCACAGTTCTCAGAGCGGCTGACTCATGGGGACAACATGCATCTGTCCTGTGTTATGTCCCAGATGTTACATTTTGTTATTAAATTGTTTATTGCTTTATTTTAGTGTCATATGTGTTACTATGATGAAGTTTTGTCTTTTTGTGTCTGACCCTGTGAATGTCTAAGCACTAGTATTGGCCATTTTTATGGACAGGCCACAATGTACTCAGACTCATCATGTGGCTTGGTATAAGTAGATTGGTATATTAACATTATATCACTTAATTAAAATTTTCAGTTATAAGTTGTAAAATATACATGCATCAATATGTAATCCTGTAATACCTGAAACATTGTCACCATATTTTTACAGTGAATTTCTGCCAATCACAACAGCCATGATAGCTGTACATTTAACAGGATTTTTTTTTGTTTGTTTGTTTGTTTACTGTTTGACTTTAGTGTAATGTAAATGTAATGTTGTATTTCCTATTCATTAAAATTCAATTTATAACACATATTAATCTGCCAATGTTTACATTAAATACCTGACAGCTATTTCACTTCACTACCCTGGTGAGTATAAAACAAGGCCAGATTTATGCATAGGCATTCTAGGCACGTGCCTATGCTCGCTCGTCCAGGGGGGCCCAAACACAATGAAGAGATATATAATATTTTTGTTGTACTATGGGCTATCTACAACAGTAAAAGAACCAAAACCCCAGAAGACATTGAGCAAATAAATATAACAAACAATAGGGTAAAAAATGACAAACTATTTCCATATCTTCCACCTTTTTTATGTAGGCTACGGAAATCATGCTTTCCTTCTCCCAGTCTCTCTCACAGACGCACACCACAGTACAGACAGGCACTCGCGCACACACGCGGAGACGCGAACAGAAACTTCTTATCAGCGCTGCCCCGTGAATTTATCAATAAAATAGTTTCGCAGCTGAAAAGCTACATGAAAAGCTACATGACATTTCTCGAGGTTCTTGAAGCAGTTTAACTTAAAGTCCCCCTGTAGTCAAATATTTTATCCCTTAAAACTTATCTTTGATCATCAAAATGACATATTTAAATTTTTTTTCTTGTGAAAATAATTTTCTCATGCCTTAAAATAGCTTGAATGTTACTCTAGACCTTTGCCTCATTTACTATATGCGGATCTATGAATATGCAAATTAGTCCCGCCTCCACTTAGTCACACACCAGCCAGCGCCTCCTGATCCACTGAATTGTAGTAACCGCAAAACAATGGCATACACGGATAATTACTGATAAAACTATGTTTTTACTAGCGGACAACTACAGTGAATACTGTAACATTCGTTTAAGTTACTTACTTGACGAGGTTGTGTCCTAAAATGAAGCATATTAAAAACACCACAGACAAATAAACAACATAAAAAAAACGTGATTTTCACTAGAGGGGGACTTTAAAGATTCGCTATTAATAGATGCTGCTGCTGAACGCTCCTGAGAGACGCATAGAGGCAGGTATTCACACGCACTTAATCTCTCTCTCCCCCTCTAATAACTGCATTAGACTGCATTAATAACTGCATTAGCCTGCATATCAATGGCTCAAGCCTCCGTTATT